AATCTTTCTGAGTAGAAGTGTAGGGCAGCCCCTCTTGGGTCCCCTCCCTCCCGCTCTGGGAGCTTTTCTGTCCTCTCAATAAATTCTACTTTCTTAAAAAAGAAAGATAGAAATGTACCATGAAAGGGGGGTGTATGACTACATTAATTTAGGTCATCTTTAATATTCCTTATATTTTATAGTTTATATTACTTATAGTGAAAAATTATAGTTTATAATTTTACTTATAGAAATTCTCATACATTTTTTGACCTAGATAGTTGATAATTTCTGATAACTATTATATGGTGGTGTTTTTAAAAATTTATTTGTTACTGGTGTATACAAATGCAGCTGTCTCTTGCATATTAGTCTTTTATCTAGCTACCTTGCTGAAATTTTCTTGTACTTCCAGAGATTATTTTGAACTTTCTGTGTGAAACATCATATCATTATCATGAATAGTTTTTCTTATGTATTTTCAGTTTTTATGCCTGTAATTTGATTTTTTTGTGCTAGTTAATACCTCTAATAATTAATGATTCAAAGTGATGATAATGAATATTGTTTTCTTATTTCGGATTTTAAAGGCCATTTCCTAATTCACTTCTAAAATATTTACATGTGTAAGTTGTACAGACTTATAAAGTAGATTCTATTTACTTAAAAGATACTGTAGTATTTTAATTTTGATGCATGCGTGATTCTAGGTATCCTGGGCAGGGGGCTGGTTTGCCGATCATTTTTCAACATCCTTGGAACTATAAACTGTTAGAAAAGCCACTTTTTTTTTTTTTTAAATCATTGGCCCTTGATCATTTTCTTCCTTGTGGTCCATTCCACAATCATTGTTTTATGCCCTCATGTACTTAGAGTAATGGACTTTTCTTCCTCTGACACTACAGCACATTTTTAAACTTTATTGTCATAGAATCATCATGAGTAGCGCTCTGCAGCAGTGACCTACCTTTTTCCTGCAAGTATAATCACTGATTTATATATATATATGAAGGGCAAAGTTTAGCTTGTGGAAGCCAGTTTAAGAATATAACTATATAATGCGAGCAAGTAGATCATGTGAAAGTTGAATTTGTATGGCAGACTTGTATTAACTTCCAAGAATATTTTGTCATTACATCTTGTTTTATGTATGTGATAAGTAATATTTGAAAGTTTCCTTTTTTTTCTTTCCTTCATGAACTCTGCTTAGTACAGATTATCTGTGTTTTTTAGTCTTTGTTCCTGTGAGCTACTAGATATTTTAAATGCTCCACAATGTTTTCCTTGTTTTTTTTAGTTTTGTTAACATAGGTTTAGATACAGTGTGGTTTTTATGAACTGTCTTTAGTAATTGTGGTGCTTGGTAAAAGTGCAGATTTCAGTGCCTCATCCCAGACCTACTGTTTCAAGACTCTGAAGCTTGGAATGTATTATTCATAAAAATCACGGATGATTCTTCTTTACTTAATGTTTGAAGATCACTGGTTAAAATGATTCTTATTGATGAGAGTCCGTTTAGCACTTGTGTAAATTGACTGCAGGGTCCTTTAGGGATTGAATTATCACAATACATCCAATTTAATATGGAAGCAGAATTCTTGAACACACAGAATTTTTTTCCCCCAGGTGATTCCACCTGACATGTTTGTATGTTGCTGAGGAGCTATTTCCTCCCTCAGGCTTTCTGGGCCATCTCTGTGGAAACCCAAAGCTTCTGGTGCATAGGTGGGATACTTGCTTCCCTTATTATTTTATTTTTTATTTTATTTTAAAGATGTGGGGTACAATTCAGGGTTAGGTATACAAATGTTGATTATGCAGGTACCCTTGTTGATGAGGTGTGCCCCTCCCTCCCCTGGCAGTTTCCCTCAACTGCCAATCCCATCCCCCCTCCCCTGACAGTTTCCCAGCACTGCCAATCTTTTTCTTATAGTATTATGATAATTGTTCAAGGTCTGCTTATGAGTGAGAACATATGGTACTCTGTTCTTTGTTTCTGTGATAGATCACTGAGTATGATCAACTTTAAATCCATCCAAGTTGCTGCTAAGTCCAGATGCTTGTCCTTCTTTATGGCTGCATAATATTCCACTGTGGATATGTACCACTTTTTTTTTTTTTTTTAAATCCAGTCCAGCTTCAGTGGGCAGCATAGTTGGTTCCATGTTTTTGCTGTTGTGAATAATAGAGCTGCAACAAGCATGCGTGTGCAGGTATCTTTTTTGTAAAATGATTTGAGTTCCTCCGGTTATATTCCCAATAGGGGATTTGCTGGGTCATATGGAAGATCAATTTCTAATTCTTTCAGAAATTGCCACACTGTCTTCCAAAGAGGTTGCACTAGTTTGCATTCCCCCCAGCAGTGTAGAAGCATTCCTTTTTCACTGAATCCTCGCCAATGTCTGTTGTTGTTTGTTTTATTAATGATGACCATTCTTACTGGGTTTAGGTGGTATCTCAATGTGGTTTTGATTTGCATTTCTCTGATGATGAGTGAGGCTGAGCACTTTTTCATGTGTCTTGTTGGCTGCCCGTATATCTTCTTTTGAGAAGTGTCTATTAATGTCTTTTGCCTACTTTTTAATGAAGCTCTTTGTTTTCCTTTCTTTGCCTTTGAGTTTCTTGTAGTCTTCTTTCTATTCATTGAATAGATGCATTAAGGAGTTGGGAAACAATTGTACATGTTAAAGTTACAGTCTTCCTATTTGTTGTTTTGGTATGTATGTTTGTATATTTATAATTTCTGAAGGATTCTTTTGGGATCAACATAGTATATGAAAACTTATATACAATTTAAAGAAATATAATAAGATCTCTGTCCTTTGTACCACTTTGTAGACATGAAGCAGACTCTCTTATTGTCCTGAAAGTTTCCTTTGTGCCTCACCCAAGCTGTCTTTCTCTTCTAGCAGCTGCTGTCCTGACTTCTTTAAAGTTAATGTGGTATAATTTACACTTAAAGTGTATAATTAGATGAATTTGGGCATCCAGAATATTTCTGTCACTCCAAAAGTTTTTCTTGTGTCTCTTTTCTCATTTAGTGTCACTACCTTCCTTGTGCCAGGCAACTATTCATCTGATTTCTATCATGGTAGATCAGTTTTGGCTGTTCAAGCTCTTCACATAAATGAGTATAAAGCTTCTTTTTTTAAAAAATCTGATTTCTTTTGCTCAGCAAATTTGTTGTTGTTATTGTTGTTTGAGTTGGAGTCTTACTATGTCGCCGAGGCTGGAGTGCAGTGGCACACTCATGGTCATCCCAGTGTTGACCTGCTGGGCTCCAGCAATCCTTCCGCCTCAGCCTTCTGAGTAGCTGGAACTACAGGTGCATGCTAATTTTTGATTTATTGTAGAGACGAGATCTTGCCACTGAGCCCAGCTGCAAAATGTTTTTTATGTTGAGCTATGTCTTACTGCATTTATCAGTAGTTTCTTTTTGTTGCTGAGTGATATTTTATTATTAAGTATTCCCACATTTGTGTATTCTTGTATCTCTTGATGAACTTTTGGATTGTTTGCAGTTTTTGACTCATATATATAGAATGTTGTTATGTGTAAAATATCACAAGCAGGCCTTTGAGTAGACATATTTGTATTTCTCTTGGGCAAATACATAGGCATGGAGTTGTTAAAGATATTGCTAAATTGTTATTGTTCTGTTAAGACTGGCTGAGACTGGAGTTGGGGGGGTAAAGGAATTTACCAAGATAGTTGTGAATTAAGAAAGGCAGATTTGGCTGGGTGCAGTGTCTTAGCTTGTAATCCCAGCACTTTAGGAGGCTGAGGCGAGAGGTTTGCCTGAGCCCGGGGGCTCGAGACTAGCCTGGGCGACTTGGTGAGACCTCGTCTCTACAATAAATCACAAAAACTAGCTGGACGTGGTGGCGTGCGTCTGTAGTTCCAGCTACTTGGAAGGCTGAGGCGGAAGGATCGCGTGAGCCCAGCAAGTGGAGGCTGTGGTGGCCGGGAGTGTGCCACTAGACTTCAGTCTGGGCGACAGAGTGAGACTCCAACTCAAAAAAAAAAAAAAAAAAAAGAAAGAAAAAAGAAATGCAGATTTATTAAAGGCAAGATGTGTTGTGAGGGAACAATGGGCAGTACTGCAAAAGGGAGCCTATCTTCAAAGAAGCAGGGACTAAAGGGCAGTTTTATGGGGCTGTGCCGGAGGAGTTTATGTGCTGTGTGCAAGGGGTCTGGAGAGGGAAGTTGACTACATGCTGTGCGAGGGGTTTGGAAAGGGAAGTTAGCTACATGTTGTACAAGGGGTCTGCAAGATGGTTGATTGATGTGGCAATCTGTTCTTTAAGGTAGGGTTAAATTACAGCAATGGTTAACAGCATTCACAGTGGTCAGCTAAAGGTTAGTTTACAATAATGATTTACAGTGGTCAATAAGCTTTTATGACTCTTATTGTGATCAGTATGTTTCTTGAAACATCTGTAAATCACCCTGAGGCCCTTTCCTCAGTATAATTTATCCAGTTGTCCTATTTGGGCATCATATTTCTCCATAGTTGTCCAAAGTGACTCTACCATCGTATATTCTCATTAGCAATATATGAGAATTCCATTTGGTTCCACATTTTTGTTAACATTTGGCATTACTAACCTTTTGTGTTTTAGCCAGTTAGTGAATATATACTCTTATGTCATTGTAATATTTGCATTCGCTAATGATTAATGGTATTAGATACCTTTTGTGTGCTTATTTCTAAATTTTTTTAAACATTGCATCTCAGACATTTAGTTTTACAGTCTTAAGGATTAGCAATAACAGTAACTGTCTGTTCTTCCAAGTCTTAAAATGGCAAAAATATAAAAAAAGGCACATTGCTGAAGAATGAGATCCCATTTCTTCATCATTTCTCAAGCTAAGCATTAAACATCTTTTTAATAAGCAATTGCACGTATACATGAGAAATCTTTAGAATGCATATTTTGTTACACAGGTACAGAAATATTTTCACATTTTGGTTGGTTTGGAAGTTTGAAAAGAACTTGGAGGAGTAGAGCATAGATGGGATGGACTGTGGAGAGGTAAGTAAATTGGGCTGACTAAGATCTTTTTCACAGTTTTTGGTTCATCTGAAGACAAGAAGAGACACTTGGGCTTGAATTAAGAAAACTCCACTATGCATGTTGGATCATTGTTGTTGCCGTTCAGTCTGGTAGTGGATGGGGTATAGTGAGGGGCACTAGACCATCAGTGCATAATTGGTTGAGGAGCTGAGAACTAGGTCTCACTGAAACAGAAGAGACTTGGCGGGGCAGGGTGTTCAGAAAGGAACCAGGAATGATGTAGCATTAGTGGCCAGGACCTTTGCTATGGTAACTCCAGGGTGAGAACCAACTGTACACTCAAATACAAATGTTTGTTCGTCTTAACTCATGCTAGAATACATGAAAAATATAATGTCTTAGTTATTTGAGGTGGTGTTACTGAAACACTGGACTGAAGTGAAGGCCTGAGGCTTTCTGTGTCTACCTGTGAGGCCTCTGGGCTGAGTCTCTGTATCTCTGCAGTAAGGCCCTTAAGTTTTCCTGTGAGGCCTTGTAGAAAGACTGGACTAGGGCAGGGCTGAGGAAGAGGATGGAAAGAAAGGAAACAAGAAACGCGGAATGTGTTTATTAAAAAAATTGTGTATTCTTAGAGACCCATTTTCCATTGCTCAAAACAGTTTTTAAACTCGTCAGCTTTGATGCGTTTTACTACTTCTGCCTTTTTTTGTTTTACCTCTTCCACATCAGCAAAATCTTTCCCTTTGAGAACTTTTTTATCCAGGAAAACAAAAAATCATCGCTGGAGTGAGAGCTCGTGAATAAAGAGAATGGTGGGGCATGGGGGTCATGCTGTTTTTGTAAAAGGTTGCTGAATACTCAGCAAGGTGTGGACAGGTGTACTTGTAAATCACCCATTATGAAGTGGGCAAACACATTGAAAAAATCTCCAAAAAAAAAAAAAAAATTAACTGAAGCCAAACACAGCCTGTCACAGCAACACAAGCTGGTACACTGATGCTGATGGCTTCCTTGAACACTTACCTGGTGGAGGAAACCTGAACAAGATGCCCATCCTCCAAAAAATAATTCCACTTTTTAAGGGGGGGGGTCCCTCCACTCCTAGTCTACTGCATCAGGTTTAAAAATCCTGTCTTTAGATGGAGGAAGCAGCCCTGCACTGGCGCATGAGACCAGTAGACACTCTGTGCCTATTCTGGTAACACCATGAAGATTCCCAGAACTGACTTCTGGGCTTTCTTCCTAGTGCAGTAGTACTTGAAGCCAATGGCAAGACTGTGGAGCTGATGAAATGAACATTTTTTTCATTCTTGCTGAGTGACTTCAGAAGGAAAGTACCAATGCCTCTGAGCACGCGGGGCTGCAACTGGCTAGGTAAAAGCAGCACATGAGATGATGCTGGTCAACTGTGTGGTTTCTGGGCTGTAAGGTGGGTAGGGGGCCCAGACCATTGGGGATGCAGAGATCAGTGCAGCTCCCTGTGGTCATGGTGTCCTGTGCTAAGTGTCCATATGATCTTTGGGGGAATTTGGTGTTGGCATTAGCTTATTCTTGTCCATCTTGAATACAGTTTTTAGGTGAAAGTTAATACTCTTCCAAGCATTCTTGGCAGTGCTGTTCATGCTTCTTGTATGACCAAAAAAGCAAGTAGTGTTCTCTGGGGTGAAGGTTTACAGGTAGGGGACTGATCTCTTCAGGGCTTCCTCACTCCTCCTGCCTCCGTCTTTCCTCCTCCCTCCTCGTCGTCTTTGGTGCTGACGCTCTTCTGCGTTAGGCTTTTAAGGAGGG